ACAATGGGGCCGTTCCCAAGCTGTATTTAAGGTCTCCTTTCTTGTCTTTTAAAGATGTTTGGAAAGGAGCCCAATGCCTCATTCTTTAGTGCAAATAAATGTAAGCTAAGCAGCCTCGTACATCGAATATCGCTCACACGAGACCTTCCAGCCCTAGGTAGCTGGCTGCTGAGGCCTCGACTAATTTGCCACCAACTCCAGGCAAATGGTGACAGAAATGAAAACGAAGGTGGTTTGAGTGTGCGTTACATTTGGTATTGTGAAAACGTAGAAAACCTTATTTTATAGCCTGACAGGCTACGCTGGTGTGGCTGTCCAATTTTGGCACTGATTTTGCTGTTGTATCAATCAAGAACTCTCTTTGCTACAAAGGAATCCCATCAGTTTCCCCTCTATTTTAATCCCTGGAATAGCACAGGGTGGGGGCGGGATGGAGCTTTTGGAGCCCAGTATTGTTGCTGGCCAGGAGAGAAGTGGTAAAAACGGGTGGGTTTAGGCTTTCCTCACACATTTCATCCTGCAGTGAAACTTGTTACAGCACCTGGAGCATCCAAATGACGAAGGAGCCTTTAGGACAGTCTGAAGCTCTTCTCTGCATCTCAGATCAGCGTGCAGTTTTTAGCTGGTTTCTGCATGGTAGTGGCCAAACTCTCCAACTCCCTGCTGGAAGGGCTGAGAGGATGGCGATACGAATCTCTTCAAAACCCAGCTCTGCTCTTGTTTCTGAGCAAGAACGCTCAGCTCCTCCTTTACGCTTTTTTTTATTTACAATTGAGACATTTCATGAAAGCCAATTATAGAACAGAATTGGTTGGTGAGACCGTTAATTTTATTAGCACTGAAGTGTTGGTTCTCTCGCTATTCCAGCCTTCGCAAGGCTCCTTACGAATCACTCGTGTTGATGAGGTGTCTGCTTCCTCACCTTTATAAAACCAAAATTACACACCTGGTAAGCGCCAATGGAATTTTTTACCCCCTCCTTCCGCCTCCAGCTCCCAGGGGCTGTAGGTTTAACGTTTTATCTGTATGAGCAAATATACATAAAGCCAGACTGCTGCTGACTCCTCTGCAGCTGGGGCTGTGGCCGCAGCCTGGCCGCAGTGGTCTGTCACATCAGGCAGATTTTTTGTCACGTTGGGGCTTTTGGTTATTGAGATTTGTCAGTGCTCTAAATAGTTAAACTCAGAGTAGAATTGGAGGTAAACAAGAGAAATCAAAAGCTCTACTTGTACTGTTTGAAGAGGTCACTTTTTTGCAGACAGAATTGTAATTTAAAAACTTTTTCAAATGAATCGAATGCTGGCTGCATACCGGCGACAGGATACAGATGAAAACCTCTTGAAAGAGCGCAAGTGGCTTTTCTCGGAAAGAGAAGTACCTTTTGGTTAACCTTTCCACAAGTATCAAGCTCATTGGACAACTTCTCCCATTTGGAAGCATTAACTGATGTACAAATGTTGCTATCTTAAAGAAGATGAACTTTTGGATCTGCAGGTACTTGCTGTGATGGTTTCTCTCTGTATTATTTCGATAATGCTCTATTCCCTTTGTGTAGACACCTATGTGCGAACAGATGTCTGCAGTTAATGGATCTTCAGTGCTGAAGCTTTCGGAGGCTTTAAATTATTTTCTTAAATACCAAGTTTAAGTTTTGTGTGAGAGGGTTTTTTCTGTCTTGCGGTGGTTCGAGTTATGTGATTGCAAGTTCTCCAGCACCATCGGGCAGTAAAGTGCCATCCTGGGCCCCAACACGCAGGGCCAGCTTTGTGGCTGGGCTGCCCCGGCTGCCGGCGAGGGGGGCGGGGGGAAGCCAGCAACTCCTTCTTTTGGCTCTGCTCTTGCTCTCAGCCAAAAGGCCATTTGATTTCTGCGAGATGAAGCGTGTCGTGTTTGTCCTCTGCAGTTACTATTTCACAGAGGACTTTGCTTCGGCACGGCCAGGAGGAGCTGAAGAATGGTGTAGGTGGTGCGGAGGGTGGGCTTGAGTTTTGTTCCCCAACGTTTCTCAGGTGTCCTTTGGGCAAAGCTGCAGGAGGCTTAGCACCACACCTCTCTGCTTTTGGTTGAAGTTACAGAACAATTCATTGGGCTTTGGTTAAAGACGGTCCAGGACTGAATATTACTGGTGTCCTGGGTTCACAGCGAGGTGGTACCATCTCTGGAGCTGAATTAGGAAGCCAATAATGTTTTATCTTAAAAACCAGACAAAGAAAACCCCCAAACCAACCAACCAACACTCAATCAACCAAGAGAAAATCCCCCAAACCTAAAAAGGCCCAGTGCCGTGGTCTATCACCTTCAGCAGTCTTCGGTCCTGGGCTGTTCTAAGCTTTGTTGTGCCCTTCTGAGGTTATTTTCTTCAGGAATTCGGTGCTGCTCCTTGGCACGTTCCTACTTGCATCGCAATAAAAGTGTGCATTTGCAGGGAATCTGCTGGGTGCAGAGTTTGTCTGGGATACAGCTTTATGAAGCAGTAAATTTTCTGTTGCTTAATCTAATATTCTAGAGAAAAACACTAGTGCAGGGGAAGGAGAATGTTGCTTCACCTTCCAGAAGTGCCATTAGAGATCTTGATCTTGTTACCGTCTTTTCTTATGCTATTACTTTTAGAACAGTAACATATGAGGATTTTAAATCTACTGCAGTACGAAAGTACAAAGGAAGAGCAAGTGTCAATACCAACAGACAGCAAGCGACTGCGTTAAAGAAAGGGAGGCAATGCTTGTCCCAGCCCACTCCCTCAAAGATCCAATCTCAGCAGGGCGCGTTTAACCCTCATTTATTTTGCGGTGGATTAACGAAGGCCTGTGACCTGCCTCTGTGATGTTAAATGCCACTCAAAACGTGCACCAGATTTGTGTTGCCCTTTGATGTGACAATATCCGTTCTGCGCCTTCACTCCTGTTTTCTTTTCCTTTTTTGAAGTACAAGTTCACTGCCCCCCTCGCCGTGGAGGTGGCTGCATTTCGGGGGCACTGGCTGTGCACACAGTATCTATAATATTAGGCTGGAAGGCGCTGCAGGTTCTTGCACTTTGAAACTTGGGCTGCTCCCAGCACAGGCCCCAGCTGAGCAGGATGGGCTGTAGGGAGCGGACAAGGGAGACCGAGTGGTGAAACAGAACAGATCTAATTAGCAGTGTCCCTGCTCACTGCAGGGGGGATTGGACTAGATGACCTCTAGGGGTCCCTTCCAACCCAAAACATTCTATGATTGATAGAAAACCTCTTGGAGCAGCGCTCTGGCAGGGATGCCAGACCTGGAGGTGACAGTGGCAGCTCAAGGCTGGGTGCGTGGGGCTCCTGGGCTGGCTCAGGGAGCAAGCGAGCTGGGCAGAGCTGGGATGGTGACCGAGGGCTGCTCCCTTGTCGAGAGAACTAGCCCAGAATTGGAGAACTATCCCACAACTGAATGGTGCTGGGTCTCTCCTGTCTCTTAATCCTCCACTCAATCAGCTCCTGGTTTGGCAAATCTTTAGACATGACAAGGTTAAAGCTTTTGTGTTCGTGACATTCCCACTGTTCTGATTGAGTTACATCATTTCTTGTCTCTGGTTTCTCCTGCCTTCGTTTATGTGCTGGACTGCAAACGCTTCCTCTCATAGCAGCGCGTTTATAAGCCTTAAATGAGTTGACCTAGTCCCTGTGAGCTCGCTACTGAAGTCCCAGCCTGGCTGCTTAAAGGTATTAAAAATAAACCGCTTTCTCCGTAAAGGTGTATCATGGCACCAGCTTGGGGGGCCTGCAGTGGGGCTGGGCAGCTGAGGTCCCCCTGGAGAAGCATCCTGGGGCTACCCAGCCTTCTCCTGCTGCAGGCTCCTTTGGAAATGGCCTTTCCACACAAGACCAGTGCTTAATGGATCACTCAGGCTTTGTTCATTGTCTGCAGTTAGTAGTGTAACCTAGGTTCAGCAAAGTAATTAGGAGAAATAATTAACAGCTCTCAGTGATGAGGCAGCCTCTCTCTCCCTCCCCTCTCCCTCGCCATGTGGTGCACCTTGGTAGTGACTCAGAAAACACAAGAGGACATGATGAATCAAAAAATAAGTCTTTACCTGTAATTAACTGTGCACACAAAAAGGAAAACATGGTGATCAAGCAGCAATTGATATTTGCTTTACTGGAGGAGGATACACCAGAATCGAACGCTCATGGCAAAATGTCCCTTTAAGTTGGGGTTCTTTTATAACATTTAATCCAAACAAAAATAAGTCTCTACCAAAAAAAGTATTTGAACCGTACACTATACGGAAATGTGTGGATAAGACACTGCACTCCTCACGTACCATATGCCTAATGGCCCCGGCTTTCTCCGTAAGTGCAAGAAAACAAAATCCAGCAATGAGAATACAAAATCAATGCAGCAACTAGAGTTGTAGGCAACAGTATGTGCGTGGCCAGGCCAGGCCAACGGTGGGATGTGGGACTATGCAGCGAGGATGGACCAGAGTCCCCCTCCTTCCCCTTCCCCTGCCTGTTGTGTTATGGGGCTCTGGAGTTGTCATGACGGGCTCTTTCAAAACAGGACACTAAGAAGAGGAAAAATAAAAAGAACCCCCCAGCCTATACCAAAGTAAATAAAGTAATAATAAAAAAAATATCCCTTGGATCGCGGCACTATTTCACCAGGGCCCTGCTGGCCCCGGCCCCCGATCGCCCTGTGCGGAGCAGGGAAGGAGTCACTGCGTGGAGGGAAAGATGGGCCCCGTGTCCCTGCCAAGCTGTGGGACCACGGCCCCGGCACAGGCTGGTGCAGTCCCTGCGCCGCTGCTCAGCATCCGGCTCTGCGCTGCGGCCACCCCGGCTGCTGCCAGGATGGGTTCGTGGGCAGGGGTCAGCCCCTGATTTTCTGCATACCTCTCTGCTTGGAAAGTGGACCAGAAGACGTTGTGCAAGTCCAGTGTGAAGGAAGGCAGAGGAGACGGCGGGGAGAGCCACCCATTACCTTAGTCTCCTCAGGTCCCTTGGGTGATGTGCCTGGGCTGGGCTCCCTCTGCGGTTTCAGAGGTCCACCCAGCCGCGGAGCTGGAGGGCGAGCACCCCGAGGAGGATGGTGCTGAGGCTGCCGCGCGCGCTGGGGGCACCGTCGCAGTCCTTTTTGTCAGCTTCGCACCTGGATTGCTGGCACAGGACCCCCTTGAAGCCCACGGGGCAGACGCAGCGCTGGTTCTGGTAGCAGGTGCCACCGTTCTGGCAGAGCAGGAGCTCATCGTCGCAGACGTTGGCTATGAGGTGGGAGGGAGGGAAAGATGTGGGTGTTAATCTGGGGCATTAAACCCCTTGACTGCAGCAGAAACTAGAAGCTTTTGGCTTTCTTTTCCACCTCCTAGGGGTTAAAGTGTCCAACCCTTGTAGCGCTAGAGCAGCCCCAAGGCCAGAGGAACACAGCGGGGGCTGCAAACTCCAGGGGCAAAGCTATCAAGTAATTTTGGATTTGGGAGGAATGGCTGGAGTCTGCCCACCCTACACCCTGAGCATCACAGGGCACCCGAGCTGAAGATCTCCCTCTTGTCTGGCCCCATCTCACGCCTCCCTCTGGCTTGGGGGGCACACGATGCTGCTGGGGTACTTACGGAAGCAGCCCTGTCTCCAGTAGTAGTTGGGCAGGCAGTCGTCGCACTTGGGCCCCGTGGCGCCTTCTTTGCATTCACAGTAGCCTTTCTCATTGCAGCGGTCATGCATGGAGCCGATCTGGTTGCAGTTACATTCTGGCCAAAGACAGGGCTGTTAGTACCTGTCCTGCCTGGGGGCTTTGCACCTGCTGACACCCCCAGGGAGGTGGTGGGACCTTTGGAAAAGGCTGGCTGCATGCTACAGGGGGGCTGTTAGAGACCAAGGGACTGGGGGGCATGGTTTCATGAGAGGCTCCAACGGTGCAAACAGCCACAGGTGCAAAGACCACCCCCCTTTGGAGCTGAGCATCTCCTGGTAGAGCAATGCATCTGAATCAAGTTGGAAAGATATTATTTGGGCTTTGTTTTCAGGGAAGAGAAGCCTTGGCAGGCTGCAGAGACCATAGTGGGTACTGTCCTTGGGGAGCATGCAGGTGGGCACACCACCCTCCCGAGAGGGGCTGAACCGAAGCCCACCCCACAGAGCGAGGTCCCTCATGAGCCATCCCATCTCCCAGTGCCTCAGCCCGAGGCCACCAGAGCACTCACCTATGCATACATTCTCATCATCCAGCTCCGCCGAGCTGTTGCGGTAGAAGCCCAGGCGACAGTGCTGGCAGTGCTGGCCCCTCGTGTTGTGCTTGCAGCTCACGCAGGTCACCACATTCAGAAAGTCAATGTAGCTGCAGCGGTTGGAGTGGCCGTAGCACTCACAGTCTGCGGAGAGGAGGAGAGAGCTGAGGAGCTGGGCCAGGAGCATCCTCCCTCATGCTGGGTAGAGGAGAGGAGCCACGAGGCTTTGGAGGAGGCTCCTGCTTGGGTGAAATGCCATGGCCACTGCCAGTGCAGGGCTGGGCAGGATGAGTGCACGCAGCAGCCACCGTCCCTCACCGCCATGGGGGGATCGGGCTGGAAGTCATTGCTCAGAGAGCAGAGGGGGGTGAGGGGGCTCTGTCCCCTTGGGATGAGGACAGGCAGGAGCCAGCCCCTGGCTGTCCCAGGACGTGATCTCCTTAAGGCAATGCATAATCATGGAAGCAGGCAGTGGCTGTGGAGGGGACTCAGGTGTTAATTAAAGAACTTGTTAATGGGCAGAGCTCAGCTTGGTGCCTGTGTTTGGCTCTGGTGGGGCTGTAGGACTCGCAAGGGAGCTGTGCTGGGGTGCAGAGCCCCGGCAAAGGCTCTGCCAAAGGCTGCGGCAAGGAGGGGGCTGGCCCATGGGACGGGGCTGGCAGAGGGTGCAGCAGCGCTCGCTGCCTCCAGCCATGGGAAGGCCCTGGACAAGGCTGAAGTGGAGCTGAAGCTGCTGCGGGCCCCGGGAAAACCTTTCTGCTTAAAGAACTTGTTAATGGGCAGAGCTCAGCTTGGTGCCTGTGTTTGGCTCTGGTGGGGCTGTAGGACTCGCAAGGGAGCTGTGCTGGGGTGCAGAGCCCCGGCAAAGGCTCTGCCAAAGGCTGCGGCAAGGAGGGGGCTGGCCCATGGGACGGGGCTGGCAGAGGGTGCAGCAGCGCTCGCTGCCTCCAGCCATGGGAAGGCCCTGGACAAGGCTGAAGTGGAGCTGAAGCTGCTGCGTGCCCAGGTAAAACCTTGCTGCTTCTCAGTTTTTTTCCCCTCAGTGTCTCTCCTCTGCATCCCCTTGCTGTTGTACCTCCCAAATCAATGCTGGTTGTGAGTATGGTGACTTGCAGGTTAAATGCTTAAAACGGGTGTATGCAAGGAAGCGTGGCCTGCGTGGGGTCCCTCAAAAGAGGGTGGACAAGTGCATGAGGGTTTGAACCAGGGCCGCCTGGCACAGGATGAGGCTGCCTGCCAAGGCTGCTGCTGGGGTGGGAGATGCCACCATCACTTGGCTGAGAGCTGCTCCTGTCCCCAGTGTGCAGGACTGAGCTCTCTCAGCTGTGGGCACGTGTTAGCAAACAACCAGCTAGGTTTAACTTGTGGCCAGAGGAATTTGATTCCTTGCTTCTTGTGTTTGCTTTTTATTGCTATGATGGGATGGTGACTACCTTGCGGTGTTAGAGTCAGGATGCTGGATCTTTCTGGAAGTTAACAAGTATAATGCAGGAGGAGAGGAGGTGCCCTAATTGCCTTGTGGCCAAGCTGTCCTGATCAGGAGGTGTCCCAGCCAGCATGGGCAGGGGGTAACGTGAGCAGAAACAGTGTCAGCCCGGTCTGAGCTTCCCCAGCCTTCAGAGAGGAGGAGGGAGGCTCGGAGCTGGGGTTTTGTTCCTAGCTCTGACATTAAACATTCAAGGATGGCAGAGTGATGGGAGGGAAGGGTGTGGGTGGCATGCACACATGACTGGAGAAGGAGACATCTCAATGAAATGATGACCAGAGAAGATGGAGCAGGGCAGAGGTTTCCCCATGGTTCGCAGCTGCCTGAGGAGGAGTTGAGAGTCCCTTGTAACCTTGACCCTCCCTGAAACAACTTCTGCCTGTTTGACCAATACCCAAAGAATTTCAGCTCAAATACTTCTGGCTGCTGCAATTCCCAAGCATTTCACCCTAGGGATGCACTCCTGCATACAGCCAACCACGACCCGGACAGGTAAACCCTCCCCATCTTCTCCGTGTCAGAGGCTGCTGGACTGCATCACCTGGGCGAAGACTAGGAGCCCTGGAGCACCGCGCTCCCTCCTCTTACCTTTATATGTTTCAATAGGAGCCACTGGGCCAGAGTCTGGTTTGAGCCGGATGAGTTTTGAGCTCTTTGAGGATGCTTAAGAAAAATCAGAGACACGCTTTTTCTCACCGCTTAGCACCGCTCCGAGTCCTACCCTACCGCAAGCAGCTCTGCTACGAGAACAATGCCGAGCTGAGCCAAGAACACCGCTCTGGCAGCGCCGGCATCTATTTCTGCACCAGACAGCTGGTAGCTGCTAAATTTCGCCTCTTCTTCTCCCCTCCTTGAAGTTTGATGCATGAGAAACTCAATACACCATGCTATTGCAATGTGCAGAGCCAGGGACTGAGGCAGGGGAGCTACTCACACATCCCCCCATTATGCACGTTAGGTGGCATGAATTGGGTTATTCAGGATAAGGATCTACAAGTCTAAACAGCTTAAAAAAATATATATCTATTGGCCATGGCCTCGGTTTGATGGAGGTCATGCTAACTGGCACCCAAAAAGCTGCTAGGAGTACAGCTAAGAGCACAAATGCTACGGAGGTGGTATCTGGCAGGGGTTGCTACAGGGTCCTGCCGAGCACGTGCTGCTCCAGCCCAGCTTGTCCCTGCCGGCACATACCTGGCTTCTTCCCATGCCTCTTGCCTGCAGAGTGTGCTGTGCGCCCTGCTTTGCTCTTCGGAGCCGCTACGTGAGAGGATAAAACGTATCTGAGTGCTGTGGTGGGGAGAGGGCTCCCAGGGCCAGCCCAGAACTGGGATGGTGCTTCCTCGGGGCTGTGCTGCCAGCCAGACCCCTGTCCTGCACGGAAGGACTGGGGTGCTGGGGGTAAAGGCTATTGCTTCCAAATCGAGCTGATGGGTCTGGTGCTTGGGGGGTTTTGTGCTTTGGTAACCCCAGTAAGGGGCAAGGTTGAGCAGCGCTGAGATCCCACAAGGTGTTTAGGAATGGGTCCCACTGGTTTTTGTGGTGTGCAAGCCCTCGCACAGCGCTGTGGTACTCGGGGAGGCGCTGGGTGGGCATTGACTGCTACGTCTCACCAGTGCTGGTCACATCCCTGCAGTGATAGCAGGAGGTGGCCATGCTCGCCACCCCCAGGGCTCAGACATGGTCACACCATTTGTGAGGCTGCTGTGGCATCAGGGCCGCCTCAGGTCTCCACAGCTTCCCCTGGTCCCATGGTGGGCTGGCACGGTGTCCAGACCCTCCTCCACCAATACGGCCCCTCCAGCCTCCGTGGCCATGACAGGCCAGCATGGTGCCCAGGCCCTGCTCTGCCACCATGGCCTCCTCCATCCCCAGCACGATGGCTGCGCACACAATGTGGCAGCCTCTCCTCCTCCACAGACCAGCACAGCAGGACTGGGAGCAGTTGTCCCTGCCATGAGGAAAGTGGGGCAGCCCAGAGGGGAAGGAGCGGCTCTGTGGGTCCCTGGGGTGCTCCAAAGCCCCTGATCTCTGCAGTGGGTGCTGCAGGTGGCCCCAGGGGCCATATCCCTGTGTAGAAGCTCCCCTGGTTGTGACTGTCCCTCATGAGGAGAGGGCCATGGCTGTGAGGAGGCTCCACGGGGTGTTGGGAGCAGGATGATCTGCTCTGTTGGGCCAGAGCAGCTGATCAGCCCAATTAATCTTGGCTGGGGGAAGGTGCCCCTCACCCCGTGGCAAGAAACCCTTTCCCAAAGCAGCTGAGGTGCCCATGGGCTTTCCTGGGGCCCAGGGACATTGCTGCAGGCATCTCAGCCCCAAACATGTCTCCAAAAATATCTCTATGGGGCTGGGTGAGCAGAACTGAGCTGAGGGGGACCCTCTGAGTAGGAGAGCAGATTGTATGATGGTGGGTCATGCCGAGGATGGGTGGGTTGTCCTGGCTTACAGGCACTGGGGGAGAAACCTGTCTTGCCCCGTCCTTGGGGATGAGCATGGCCTTACCTCGAATGTTCTCGGGAGGGTCTGGTGGCTTCGGCTTGGGTCCAAGTGCTGCTGTGTTTGGTGGGCGCTGAACAGCTTATGGTGGTATCAGTTAGAGAGAACATCAGATTTAATACAGATCCCCCTCTTGTTTGCCTAAAAAGGTGGCAAAGGGACACTGGAAGCTCTAGGCAGGTATCTAGGGTGGGTTGGTGGAGC